AAATGACAAAGAAAAAGAAAGTGGATTATCATCCTAGTCTTGTGTGGACAGAGATAATATCGTTCATTAAAGGATCTGTCGAAGCACTTCATAGTGACAGTGGTTACATAACGTTGGAAGAATATCAGACCATAGGAAACAAGAGGGCACCAAGTTTTACTGCGGATCGAGAAACTATCTATGAATTGTTTTTGGCTTACCAACGCATTAAACGCCGTGAGGGTATGTTCGATGAAGCCGACGTGGTTCACAACATTTATCATCGCCTCGAACATCACGTCCCAGCATGGTCTATTCACGAGATTTATGTGGATGAGACACAAGACTTCACTCAAGCTGAGCTGTCTGTTATCATTCGTTCATGTCGTAATCCTAATAGATTATTCTTTACTGGAGATACTGCTCAGAGTATTATGAGAGGAATCGCCTTCCGCTTCAGTGATCTCAGATCACTTTTCTACTACATGAAAGATTCTGTTAAATCTGTTGGCCAAGAAGCAGAAGTCGTTGTTCCTGACAGAGTTTACGAACTCACTCACAATTATCGATCTCATGCTGGTATCTTGAACTTAGCTTCAAGTGTCATTGATTTATTATCTCACTTTTTCCCCGAGTCGTTTGATAAATTGGCGCGTGACCAGGGATTATTTGAAGGTCCTAAACCAGTCCTTTTGGAGTCGTGTAGTTTCAGTGAACCCGCTGTAATTCTTCGTGGTCACAAGAGGAAAACTTCACCAATAGAATTTGGCGCTCATCAAGTCATACTTGTTGCTTCTAATGAAGTTCGAGATTTGCTTCGTCAACAACCCATTCGTGGTCTGGTCATGACCATTTATGAATCAAAGGGTTTGGAATTTGACGACGTAATAATATACAACTTTTTCAAAGACTCGCAGGTAAGACCCGGCCGTAGGAGTGTCTTGCCTGTAGAAAGCTTCGGATTGGTAGGGATGCTGTACCACTACCTGAAAAATACAAGGAGATTTCGACCCCACTGGGCACACGACGTTTTAACGTTGAAATTTGATAGGAAAATGTTGCGACGTCGCTGATGTGTTTTTGGTTCAACATCAGCTAACAGACGTCGATTCAACATTCATTCATGGTTGGTTATACGACGTCAACTTGTCAAGTAATTTCAATGTTGTTTGGTTGACGAGATCTCAACGTACGTTAATTGTTTCGACGTCAAGAGAGTAGCGTCGATCCAATTTGTATTCACTGATCCTTTCCAACGTCTGGCAGGTCATGCCCGACGTTGATTCAATGTTGAATCAACGTCATTTTGCCCGCTGGGTCGTTTCGAGTGAAGGCCCTTCGTCGGGAAGTAATTGGCTACTAACTTCCCGACGAAGGGCCTTCACTTGGAACGTCGAAGTTCTCGTTGTATTTTTCAGGTGGTGTTATCCCTATCAATCAACAGTTTTCTTATTATTGTCACTACCAGGGCGTCTATAAGAATATTCATATAGACGGCCTGTCACCACCTACACTGGCACAGACCGTCCAAGATTATGTCTTTCTAGCCTGCCGTAGTTGACGTCATTACTTTAATTAATATTCAGGCTGGGCAACAGGTTTTTAAATATTCAAGGTGTGAGCTATAGTCATTAATAGTCTGGTGGAACAATAGTTATTGAATATTCGGGGTGAACAACAGCGTTAAATATCCCTGATGGGCACCATGTGAGCAACAGTCATTAAATCTTCTTGTTGAACAACAACACTAAATGTTATGGGTTAGCCATGCACAGTCATCATAATGTGGAATCAGGGATCTAGGCAGAGGAGGAACCAGGTTATGGGAACACAAGGGAAGCGCGGTCCAGGAGATGGGCAAACCGTTCAATGGGCTAACCAGGAAACGGAGAAGTGGGAGATGGGGGAGATAGAGGTTGAAAGAATCGGCCAACCGGGGGAAGAATTGGGGAATGAGGGAACAGAGAATAAATATATTATATACACTATTGTCGACACGGTGATTTCTCCAGAGTCC